CAATGCACCCTGCCCCAGACATCCCTGCCTCAATTAACTGCAGGAATTTCCAATGGGAGCGGCACTAACTGTGCTGGGAGACCTTGCCTTCACTTCCAGGGAGGGAATGTCTCAGGAGGTACATTTCATCCTTAACTTCTGGCTGCATTGTAAATGTAATTAGGGGCAAGCAATCAATCTTTGGGAGAGTGTTTCTTGGTTAGTAAAAGCGCACACAAAGGCATGATAAGGCACTACTGAGGAAAGCACTATTAATTGCAGCCCTGAAGAACTCCTCAGAGGTGGCTGGTCCTGCAGGCTGCCAGATGGAGCCTCCACAGGTATTTTAGCCTGCAACAGAAGACATTCCTTTCTGACTCCAGCTGTAAACAGCTTTTCAACTTTAAAGAGCATCCCAGCAAATTAAAGGTCCGTTGTTCTGTGGCCTTCAGGACAGTTTCAGTGTGGCGAGACGGAAATCTAGAAGACGACTCCATAAGACAGGCTTGTTGGATGGAATTTCAAGCAGATCAGGAATTCCTAAGTCACTAGCATAAAAGTGACCACAAAAGCAAGGGTGAGAACCTGGAGGTGGATCAAGCACAGGACAGTATGGGAAATGCCAAAACACAAGGTAGCAGAACCACTGCAGAATGGTTCTCTTTGCAGCTGGGAAGTTTGGCTTCTTACCTGTGAAAGGCACTGAGCAAGCACAGGGCTCAGCTGATGGATGGTAACTTGTAAAGCTGCAGTCACTTTCTCTCAAATGACCTAACATTCAAAGACAGACCTCAGTTTATCAAGCACGACCGCTTCAGAGAATTATCCTGCTAGGGAAAACAAGGAGTTGTAATAATAGAGTAATCAGCAGTTTAGCAAATGCTGCTTAGTACAATGCAATAACCACTGTACGTACAGTCAAAAGCCCTGCAAGCTGGGAGGGAAGGGAACAAGGGAAAGACCTCTTCAAAGTCTGATGTTCAAAGGATAAGTATCTACTGTTGATACATTTTACGAAAATCCAGACCGACTTGAGCTGATGTTGCTGTGGCATAACGTCTTCATTTTGAAAAGGGAAGCTCTGTGGTTTTCTGAGACCATGCCACATTTGTTTTGCATGTAATCAAATATTTTGAAGCTCCAAACCAGCAGTTCAAACATCTGGTCATTGAGTTTTTCACTGCGCTTATTTTCATTGTGTTCTAGGTATGATAAATAGGATCCTAACTTGGAAGAAACTAAAGTACTACTTAAAAACACAAAGCAGGCTTGAAGACTTTTTAAACCTACAGGATTTTCAGCTTTCTCATCATTTCTGAAGCATGCAACACATGGAAAACATCCCTTGAACTCCAAAAGGCCTGTACAACTCTCAGAGTTAGAGTGAGATCAGTAAAAGTGCACAAGGCTGGGAAATATGATCTGTAGGCCTCTCTCACTAAGCTAACTTGAGAGAGAAGCAGCAGAACTTTACAATCTCTTCGCACCGAAATGGCGTAAGTTTGTTCTTATCTCTATTGACACAGATTGCTAAGGTATCTGAACCGTACCAGCAACTTTTGGAGGAAAAAGAAAGGATGCTGAAGGTTAAACCAGGTATTTTTATGTAATGGGTACATGTACATTTCCAACAAAAGGAGATGACACGTAGGCAGGATAAGGCACTCCAGAGGTGTTAGGCTGTTACACCCAAACAGCAGCTGGGAGGAGAGCTGCTGAAGCACTATCGAGCTCATACGCATGCTCAAGACTTGAAGCCACTATTTTCCCTGTTAGTTACCAGGTAAAAACCCAGAGCACAGCTGACCACAAGCATGCCCTATCCTCAAGGCCCACATCAATCTCACACTCATACTGTGGATACAACAGAATATAGCTGAAAGTTTATTAAAAATCCAGTGGTGGCATTCAGACAGACATCAACATTCAGTGGAACAAAGCAGAAATTAGGTGAGAGAAGAGAGCAAAGGAAATGCAGTTATGGTTAACTGGTATATTTATCTTAATGGGCTTGTTTACAGTAGAAGGATGTTAGTCACATTGTTAATTTGTATATCAGTTTGTAGTACAAGAAAACATGACACTATTAACATGGCAGCAGTGTCAAGGTCTACCACCAAGCATCCAAAACAGCACCCGAGTCAGGCAGCTGTACTTTCATAGTCCTCAACTACTGCTCCAAGTTTTCACTCTTCAACAGGCAGCTAAACAAGGTGGCTTTTGTAAAGGATTGTTTTTTTTCAGGCAACTATTTTGAAAACCCGAGAAAGAATTCTTATAGATATATACAGCTTACAGAAAATAATGCAGTTTTTCACTCAATTGGAGGAGAGTGAAAGAACGTGGACTACACAGAACTATAATTATAGAGGAAGTCTCAGTATTAATGCAGGAATTCCTATAAGTTCTGGTTCTTCTGTAGGCATACATTCACAAAGAGAGGGGCCTTCAACTTCTCAGTAAAGCTAGAGAGAGAAACGAAGAATAGGTTTGTGATCCAGTGCCAACAGGAAGGATTCTTAATAAAACAAGAATCTCCACACGTTGTTTGCTCTGGAAATCTTGGTGAACGGGAGAGAAAGAGTCATCTGGAAACCTTTTTTTAGAGATTAGAGGTAATTTCTTCAAAGGGAGCAGCCACGCCACTTGTCACCAGACTGGGCGAGTACGAGACACAGGAGAATACACAGCTCTTTCAGGCCTGCAAGATAAAGTGGCTTCAGATCCTGTCTAAAAGGGCTGAAACACTTATTTTGAGCAGCAGGGACTACACCTAGATAACAACTGAGCTTCTAATTTACTCTGTTGAGAAACAGTGAAGTAGAGAAAAGGGAGAAGATATAATTACAATTCAATTATTATTTTCCTTTGACATGTGCCAATTTCTAAGCAGGTTTCTCCTTCTCCTTCCTCTCCCATCCAGCAATAAGCTCATAAGTGCTTTGATTATAAGGCCGGCTTCAGGGGCGGAGATGGGGGCAGGACAGGGCCTGAAGGAAGACGGCTCCCTAAAACACAAGACTCTGCAATTGCAATTACCGTAACTGCCGTGTTTGCGAGCAGATGCATGCAGAGGGCTCATATTCCCTCCTCCCCTTCGGAACCTACTGCAAGTCAGTGACCAGGAGACTTCTAAAACATCTTCCATTTGCCCAAAGAAAAAAGCTGGCCTGATGCACACCAGGACACGTTACGCTGTGCCACAAAGCTAGGCTTAGAGACCAGCAGGCAGGGAATACATCACTCCCAAATCTCCTGCTGCAAAAACTACAAGGCATCAGAATAACCATAGACACAGCCATGTCCCCAGCTATGGCCACAGGCCTGGCTCGGTCCAGGTTCAGAGCAGCTACAATCCCCTCATCACAGAGTTACTGTGTGTAAGAAAGGCATTTATGAATCAGTGAACTTAGCCACCATGATACTCCTTCCCTTTTTTAAAGGCTTTTTTTTTTTTTTTTTTTAAATAATCCTCTGACACACATCAAAAATCTTAAAATTTACAGGTATTTGGGGACTGCTAAACAACTGTTTCATCCAGCACAGTACCAAGGATGTGATAAACTCTCCCATTCCAATAACTACAGGCGCAAACTGATTTCCAAGGTCTTTCTTTTGGAGAACAGAAATAACATTCGGGTATAGCCAGTCCTCAACTAATCCAGAAAGCGTTCTGTTCGTTTTCACAGGAGCCATTTCCACGCAGCGGCCTAACACAACACACCAGCTGGGCGTAGGCAGGAAATCACCTGGCTATCACGCCATAGGCTAAATAAATAAATAAATAAAATTTAGAAGTCAAGTTTGCAGCCTATATGACTCCCCACAGCTCCTCCAGATCTGACTCAACCCACAAGGAGAGGAATGCCTCGCACCACGTGCCAAGGCAACGCTCCCACTGAGCCCCTCCACCAGAGCCCAGCCCTTTGAAGCCACCCAAGCCCCAAAGCTGGTGGCTGCAACACGGTGCCCAGGAGCAACCAGCCAGGCCCCATCGCTGCTGCCCGACAGGCACCAACCAACAGCACGCAGACTCAACTTTCTGGTTTTCTGGCAGGCTGGGGCAGGCCTCGTGCTTGCAAAACAGAGGCAACTGACTGCTTGGGAGCTACCAACAGCAGCTTCATCCAGTCCCACACAGCCCCTCATGTGGCACTACCGACCAGAGCTTTTTGCTGACTCCATCCCCACCACAGGACAGTGGCATAAGAAGGACCTCGTGGGCTTTACGCACAGCAGGACACCACTCAATGAGTACCAAGTAGCTCCCTCTCACCATCCACAACAGTATGCTCACAGCCCCCTACCACCCTGCACCTACACAGGGCTCGCTTACGAGACAGCTGCAGCTGTAAACAGGGCTCTGAGTCTTTGTTATAGGACTCTCTTAAAGCTGTTATTAAGGGAACGAGCTCACGCTACGGATACGTTAAGCTAAAGGAAGAGAGTGCAATTCTCACCTATGGCCAGTGCTCTAGATTAGAGTTTACGCGTTTAGGGCACCACTCGGCACTCACTGAACGGGACCACAACTCGCCATAAGTGCAGGGGCCATGTCCCACCTGGGGAGCAGAACAAACTGCCCGGCTGCGGGAGCACGACGGACACCCGTAACCCCGCAACATTTCGGTGGCAGTGAGGACCGAGGCAGCCGAGCGCCCCTCGGGCAGCAGCCATCCCGCCGCCGGGCAGGTGACGAGGGCTGGGCAGCCTTCCTGCGCTTCCACGCGCGCTTCCCCACGCGGAGGCGTACCGGCTGAAGCCCCGGCACCCGCAGCACCTGTGAGCGGCCGGGGACACCGAGACGCGGCCGGTCGGCGGCGAGGCAAAACGGAACGGTACCGGGCCGGCGGCGCTCCCCGCACTGCCCCGTCGAGCGAGCGCCGGCGGCGAAACAAAAGATCGAGCGGCGGCGACGGGCACGGGGCCCCTCGCGCCCGCCCGCACCGCCGGGAGCGGAGACCTCGTCTGCCCGCCCTCGGCGCCCCGGGCCGTACGGCCGGCGGCGAGGCCGCGCTCACCTTACTCTTCACTTCCACTGCGCTGCATTCCAGATACCGCAGAGTCTGAGATTTGTTGAAGCTCCGGTTCATCTTCTCGGCGCCGCTGCCGCCCCCCCCCCGCTCTCCTCCTCCTCCTCCACCTCCTTCTCCTCCTCCTCCACCTCCCCCCGCCGCCCCGCGCGCGGCCGGCGGCACGCGGCGCCCAGCTCCGCTCAGCTCCCAGCCGCTCCGGCCACTTTGTCCCGGCGCGCCAATGAGAGCGGCCGCTCCACCGCGCTCGCGCTCCAGCAGCCGACAGCCGCGCGCCCCCGCTCCGCCGCGGGGGGACGGCGGCCCACGCCCCCGAGCCGCGTAGCCACGCCCGTACGGCTTAACCACGCCCGCTCGGCCGTCTGCCTCCGCCCCGAAGCCTGCGGGTATTCGCAGCCCCGTGGCTCCTGCCCCGAGAGTGGCGTACGCCGACGCGCCCCGTCTGGTTGATAATGTTGGTACCTACTGCAGTGATAGGATTTTTAATTTTGTGCTTTTGAGAGTGCAGAATATTCATTCTCTCTCTCTCTTTTTTTTAATCCCTTTCTCCCTTGTTATTGCTTTGACTGTTGGTTTTCCATTCTTGACTAAAGGAAAAAAACTAATAAGAATGTCTCCCAGTGTCCTTCATTTCAGCAGAAAAACAGAACTCACTCTCCACCGTCTGTTCAGAAGAAGCTTCTACTTCCACATGGGATAGAAATTGTGTTTACACTGTGATTCATAGAATCATAGAATCATTTCAGTCAGAAGGGACCCCTAAATGCCACCTAGTCCAGCTCTCCTGCATTGAGCAGGGACACCTGCAGGCTACATCAGGTTGCTCAGAGCCCAGTCCAGCCTGACCTTGAGTGCCTCCAAGGGTGCAGCATCCACCACCACTCATAGAATCCTAGAATCATAGAATTGCTCAGGCTGGAAAAAACCTTCAAGATCGTTAAGTCCAACCGCACTCCAGGCAACCTGTACCACCCTTACTGTAAAGTTGGATATTCTTCCATACATCCGATCTATATCTCCTCTCTCTTAGTTTGGAACTGTTTCCCCTGTCCTATCACAATAGACCCTGCTGAAGAATCTGTCCCCTTCTTTCTCACTGCCCTCCCTTAGATACTAAAAGGCTGCTCTCAGGTCTTGCCTTATTCATTGCCGCAGACCATTGAAATTAACACAACCTTCAAGTTCCTGTACCTCAAATAGCACAGCAGAGTTTCCCTGGCCATTGTATGATTTATGGCTTGATAGTAGGAGTAATAGATTGACTTTAAAAAAAAAAAAAAAAAAGGAAGAAAAGAAGAAGAGAAATAGTGAAAGCAGAGGTTCTGGGAAAGGAGATAGAGGTTCACTAATAGTGGTATGGGTTCAGGCCATCCTGTTCAAGAAGCACTGTGTAAATTTTCAGAAAGCTCTTTAGGTCTCTAGGTGGAAGTTGCTGTACAGAGAGCAGTTACTTATGAAGTTAGGATGATGACTGTAAATACTTTAAAAATACAGTTGAAATAATCCCCGTGTGCAGGGGCATCTGCCTGCCTCTCTTCCCTGTGCCTCACTTTAGTTGGTCCTATTGCTGAGTAAATTGAAGCATAGTTGTAAGTTGGCAAGTTCAGGATACATCTTCTAATTATCCCTGTAATATCAAATAATTTGTATAGTTGACATTATCTTCCCAAGCATCTCTGCTTTGTGAAACTGTGATTTAAGTTAGAATGGACTGTAAAAACACACGCCATGGTAGGAGAGTAACTCTCCGTGGTAGTTCTCAATTTCTCTAAAGAGCTTAAGCTGATCAGATCTTCATTAAATTAAAGAAACTGAAAGAGAAGTGACTAATTTAGTGGTTTGCAAAACTGCCCATAGCAGGGGGGTTGACTGGATTGTTGAGGTCCTTTCCAACTCAAGCCATCCTGTAATTGATTCCATGATTCTATGAGAAGTAATACTGCTAATTTTGATACATAATGTCAATATGAGAAAGCTGCTATAGATGTAATTCCTTCTTTTTATGGTCCAAGTACTTACCTGACTTGCTTAGTGAACAGAAGAACTGTCCTATGGCAGACGTCTGCAATTCTTCTTAACCACAAGTTGTGCCTCTTCTCTCTTGGGTAACCATTTAACACACAGCAAGAAGAGCTGGAAGTTGAAACATGGTTTTTGGTAGGAAGATAGAATAATAAAACTTTTCCTCAGTTTCAGTTTCTCATATAAACACTCAAGAGGTTTTCAGCCTGGCGTGGGATGCAGTTAACTGGAACGAACAACAAAATCTTAATGAAAGTGTAAGTTATTGAAAACTTCAATTTGGGCAGGTAAAGCAACAAACATAAATTACCTCAATATTCCTGAATTTAAGGAATTTACTATATAGAATCATAGAATCATTAAGTTTGGAAAGATCACTATCATCCAGTCCAGTCATCCACCTACCAACAATGTTGCCCACTAAACCACGTCCCTCAGTGCCACATGGTTCTTGAACACCTCCAGGAATGGTGACCCAACCTCCATCCTGGGCAGCCTGTGCCACTGCCTCGCCACAGTTTCTGAGAAGAAATATTTTGTGATATCCAACCAGAACCTCCACTGGTACAGCCAGAGGCCATTCCCTTTCATCCTATCATTATTACCAGGGATAAGAGGCTGAACCCCCTATCTAGCCCTCAGAGCCCTCTCAAGCCCTTCTCAGAGGTGGTTAGGGATATCACCTTCTATTAAGGAAAAGTAACAAGGAACTGCTGTAGCAAAGGTAGTCAGTCCTACAGAATACAAATCTTGACTTACTGTTCACAATCTCTAAAAAATGTAACACACAGCAGCTGAAAGCTTCTTAGCAAAAAAAAAAAAAAAAAAAAAGTTATCAGATGACTTTTTAAGTAATCTTTGCAGGATTTCTTTGGCAGATCTACTAAAGCAGTTACCATATTAAGATAAAGATAGACTGAAAGATGTAACTCCTGATTAATAATAATGACAAAAACCAGTCAGAGGGAGAGCTCACACTTATTCACGCAGCAAAATCCCTCCCATGTTAGCCAGACCACTGCACATAGCTGTACCAGGCGGGGGTCACCTGATCCCATCAGAGCTAGTCCATGGACAGGCACCATGCAGCTCTTAATCAGTAGGAATGGACATAATCTCTTCCTCACCCACCTGATCTGCAAAGAGATTTGCCAAGAAGCTGCTTACTACATTACATATTTCTTCCAGCCTGCATTCACGCCCTGTAAAACACTGAAGTTTTGGAATGCTTGTGCACAATCGATCCTTTCCAGAGCTTTCAGCTAGGGCACACGTTCCCAGAGTCCTTCAGAGCAGCTGCTCAGAACTGCACAGAGCATGAGACACATTAATTCCTCCTTCTCACAGGCTCAGGGCCAGATGCTCAGCGGGTGCAAAGCAGCAAAGCTTTGCTGCAGCTCTTTGGGGTCCCTAAGCCTGTCAGCGGAGTGAATTCCCCTGGCCTCTATGGATGAGGAGCCTACATTTGTAACCTGTGGCCTAGCCTCCATCCCGCGCTGAGGAGGATGTCACCACCATCCTTGGTGACTTGAAACTGGAAGAGAGACATGAAAGCCTGCTGTGTCAAGGTGCTGGAGAGAGACATTTTGACAGAACTCTCCTGAAAGCATTTCTGCATCCCAGTGTGCTGAAGTCACTGCAGGCTGTCAGCTATGAGGCAGTAACATGGTGTCCTTCCCACGTTTCTGCTGTTAGCAGAAAAAGGCTCCTTGTATATCTGTTTTCTTCCCTTTGCACCTTCTTAATATCAAGAAATAAGGGTATTTCTCTGCAAAATTGATGTTTCTATGCTTTGTTTCCTTCGTAATTTGTGTCTTCCTCAAGCATGTGTGAGAATTACGTGCGGGACTGTGGATTTCAGAACCAGGCCTTCTGGCCATTTTGATAATACCATGGGAGGAAAACTTTCCCAGAACCAAACAATTTTACTGCATTCCACGATCATGTGCAAAACAGTGATCCCATCTGTTCAACAGCAATCCCCCTAAGTACAGGGTTGCCTCTCGCTCATCAGTCCAGGCAGTTCAACAAAGCAGCCGCCGTTTTCAATGACAAGTTTTTCTTCAAAATACAAGACACCACTAAGGACAGCTTCATAATAATTCACATATTTGTCAAGGTGTGTCTTCTTATGTACTATTTTGACTGGTATGAGCCCTGTGGAGCAGTATGGTACAACAGCAATTCCTCTTAAATTTAGGCATTTTTGAGATCAGTTTTGCCAGTTCCTCTAAAGAAACAATAAATGAATAAACAATAAAAATATTAACCTCAAATTCAAAAGATGAAAACTGGACTTCCTAGTTTTTATTTTTCCCCTGACAGCTTGAAGACTTTAAAACAAAGAGTGCTTGAATTCAGCACTCCAGGTATAGGGCAGTTTACCACAGAGATTTCGCAATAAAACAACTATGAAATAAATGAGAGATAATTTAATTTATGATATTTTTCCAGCTGAGTTCTGGTGGCTGGGATTTTTGTCATAACTATGAACATCAGCAAGTTTCACATACCAAGTGCCATAAGAGACTTCTGGAAACTCAAGTTGAGGGCATTCTAATTGCTTAATTCTGCTTATCTAAACTTCTAAGTGTCTGCCTTAGGTCATGTTCAAGACCAGTCTCTCCACCTGACTGCTCAAGATACCCTCAATAGCTCTGGAAAATCTAAAGTTTATTTCTTGTGCTTTTCCCTTCAGAAACTGATCTGAAAACAAAATGTGATTTCTGCGGATGCTTGCTAGTGGAAAGAGATCATTATTTGGCTAGAAAGTGGGTGTATGTTTTGCTGGCCTCGTGTGTGCACATGCTGTACCTGCAGGCAGGGAGAAAATGCCCACCCAACCTGTTTTGTCACAGCTCCTTTCAAGTCCTTTCTCTGCAGTTAGAGTAGCCAGGGAATATTTATGTCTCTTGAAGGAGCCAGTCTATGGGTAGATAGCAAGAGGGCTGAAAGGGAGGTCTTTCATGAAGTTGAAATGCCTCACGTTTTTCAACTTTGTAAGAAAAGTTTCCTAAGATTTGGCACGAGAATGGGATGTGCTTTGTTAATTTTATCAGCAACAGGCAAAAATGTGCTGATTTTCCACA